TACACTCTTTCCTCATGTGAAACAAACAATGCACGGCATCACCCTTCGTGCTTTAACACTCTTCCTCACCCAATCAACAATCACAAACAAGGGCAAGGGAAATAATAAAACAAGAATGGAAGTCCCGGCAAGGGTACACAAACAAACAATTAAAAACCCGGCAAGGGTACTACATCAATAACCAACAACGTCCCGGCAAGGGAATAAATCATTAACTCTTCACTTTCTTTCACTTTCATCTCATAGTTCACATTATCACTTGAGCCAATGCTCCAATGAGTTACTTATCTCATATACCTTCACAATTTGTATTTCAACCCGAGCCAATGCTCCACGAAGTTCAAAGATCACAATTTCTTTCACGAGATCTTTACAAAACATAAAAGTCATCAATTAAGCATGGAAGGCATAACAACAACCAAACTATTAGCAAAATAAGGACTCACGGTCATGCTAGACACCAATGTATAGATACTCGTCACCATGCCTATACATCGCATTCGACAGTTAACAAGTTACAATTAAGACTCAACTCCTATTCCCTTAAGCTAGGGTTAAACCAAATACTTACCTCGATGCCTTGAACTAAACTCAAGCCTCAACTATGGCTTTACCCCGTCATTCCACCTCCAATCCGCTCGAATCTAGTCACAAATTACTTAATTGCTTTAATAAACATTAAGTGAATCGATTTGAATGCATAATAATGTATTTCCCAAAGTTTTTCCCAAAAATTCCAAAATCGCCTCCGGGCCCACGTGGTAAAAACCCGAGGTTCGAACTAAAACCCGGTTACCCATTCCCCCACGAACTCAAATATGTAATTTGCTTTGAAATCGGACCTCAAATTGAGGTCCAAATCCCCAATTTTTAGAAAACCTAGGTTCTACCCAAAACCCCCAATTTCACCCATGAAAATATTTGATTTTAAGTTGAAAACATGTTAAATGATATTAAAGTTGAAAGAAATGAGTAAAAACCAACTTACAAATGATTTGGAAGAAGTCTTATTCTTGAAAAATCGCCCAAAGAGGTTTGTATTTTGAAAGAATGTTAAAATGACTCAAAAATTCGGCTAAGTGTAAAATATGCAAGCCTCAGATGTGGGAAATGCGAAGGTGGGTTCGCATTTGCGAACCCTGCAGGTACGGGAAATGCGAGGTCTTTGTTCGCATTTGCGAACACTGGCCATTCGGGAGAGCATCGCATTTGCGAACTTCTAGTCGCATTTGCGAAGAATGGGCCTTCGCATTTACGAGCCAATGGTCGCATTTGCGACCACAGCCCAGTGCCCCCTTCCTCGCTTGCGATGCCAGGCTCGCATTTGCGAGCTCGCAATTGCGAGGCCTGCTTCGCAATTGCGAAAATTGCAGAACTGAAATGCCAGATTTTTCTTAAGTTCAAAAATGCACTCCGACACCTATCCAAAACTCACCCGAGCCCTCAAGGCTCCAAACCAAATATGCACACGACCTCAAAAACATCCTACGGACTTATCCGTGCGATCAAATCGCCAAAATAACATCAAAAACAATGAATCAAACCTCAAATCACAAGTTTTTCCTCAAACCTCATAAACTTTCAAATCTAGAGTTTTAAGTCTGAAACATGTCAAACGACGTCCGATTTCAACCAAACTTTACAGAAAGCGCTTAAACCATATATAAGACTTGTACCGGGCGCCGAAACCAAAATACGGGCCCGATACCACAGTCTTTTAATCAAATTTCATTTTCATTTTCCTTAATCATTTCCAGAAAATAATTTCACACAAAAATTCATTTCTCGGGCTTGGGACCTCGGAATTTGATTCTAGGCATACGCCCAAGTCCCATATCTTCTTACGGACCCTCCGGGACCGTCAAATCACAGGTCCGGGTCCGTTTACCCAAAATGTTGACCGAAGTTAAATTTATTCCATTTAATATCAAAATTTAGCATTTTTCTCACAGAATTCATATTTAAGCTTTCCGGCTACGCGCCCGGACTGCGCATGCATATCGAGGCAACCCCAAAAGAGGTTTTCAAGGCCTCGGAATCACGTAATTAATAAGAAAATAGGTGATGACCCTTTGGGTCGTCATATTCAGTTTTCACAATTCACAACTTTTATTAAATTCATTACATATACGTACTTTATATATGTAAACTCTTTATTCAATATTATTCAGTAACCAATGTTCACTCTTCATACAATTAATTTTTTTACAAGAAAGCAGATACAAACCAGTATTCAATTTTTAAACATTGATTGTTCAATCTTCGTAGATTCAGACGATATTCAATTATCTGGGCCTCGGCAAATAAGTTACGGTATGATGATCCCACATTAATCATTCACAGAAGTTTATCACACCTCTTGGGGTACCGTCCTTTTCCAAATACTTCGTGCACCGAATCTCTTTTTATGAGACAAACGAAGTACAACACTTGTTAAATCTGAGGGTTATTCAAAATCATCCACTATGAGAACTATTTGTATACTTCACTCAATAAAATCAATAACTTTTGAAACAAATATAATCATTACAATGACCATTTTAGCTGAGCTGATAGCAAACATAATAAGTGCACTGCCAATTAATTTTTTGGCCACCCCCTGTAAGAAAATATTAAGGTTATTTAATATTTATCTCAAAAAATGACAATGTTACAAATAGCAACACTAAATACACCAAAATATTCATGCATGTTTCTCTTTCTCATGACATCAACAATTATAGAACTACTATAAAATGAAAGGAAAAAAAAGGCTTTGATTTTCTTTTCACAAAATTTCTGGTGAAAAAAAAAAGGAATTTTTATAAGAAAATTTTCAATTAAAGAGAAAAATGGGGCCTCCTTTGAATGAATGTTTTGAAAATTTAAACAGATAGGGCCAATCATATAACCACTGACAAAAACAACCTTTCCCCCACACATATTCATATGTTTCAATTTTGGAATTTGATCATTACTTCTTTCTTTTTCATTTACACTTCAATCCACTCTTCTTGTCCCCCAAAAATTATACTAATTAATTCATTAAAACCAAGTTTGGTTTAGCTTCATGGACTGATCTTGTTAGCTTTTCTGTTTTTTTCACTAACTCCCACCAAACATGTTGCCGAGCGCTTTATCCCTCATGTGTGACTTTTCGAGACGAATTTGGATTTAGTCTATTTTTAGATTGTTATTTTTTTATTGAAGGGGAGCTTGGTGTAACTGATAAAGTTGTTGCTATGTGACCAGGAGGTCACAAGTTCGAGCCGTGGAAACAGCCTCTTGCAGAAATGCAGGGTAAGGCTGCGTACAATAGACTTCTTGTGCTCCGAATCTTCCACGGACATGCGCATAGCAGAAGGTTAATGCACCAGGCTACCCTTTTTTTTATATGTTATTTTCTTATTATCTTTTGCTTTGATTTTCGTAGTATCTTTTTGTTGTTGTTATTGCTTGTTACCACTGCCTCTTTTCATCTTTTCTTGAGCGGAAGGTCAGTCAGAAACAATTTATCTATTTTTTTAAGGTATGGGTAAGGTCTGTGTACACATTACCCTCCCCAAACCTCACTTGTGAAATTTTACTAGGTTTTTTTTTTTTTTTTGTTGAATTTGGATTTAATCGAGCCTCAATATGGATTCGTGCCGTGGAAACAACCTCTTGCAGAAATACAGGATAAGGCTGCATATAATACACCCTGTGGTCCGAACCTTTCATGAACCCCGCGTATAGTGGGAGATTAGTGCACCGTGTTGTTCTTTTTTTTATCTGTTATTTTCTTAATATCTTTTGCTTCGATTTTCTTAGTATCTTGTTGTTGTTACTGCTTGTTCTCACTGCTTCTTTTCATCTTTTCTTGAGCCGAAGTTCAATCAGAAATAATTTATCTACCTTTTCAAGATAGGTATAAGGTCTGCGTATACACTACTCTCCCCCGACCACACTTGTGAAATATTACTCAATCTGTTATTGTGTATTGTTGAATTTGAATTTAACTGACCCCAATACAAATACCGAACATAGTATGAGAAACCCAAAAATCCTTTTCACTATATACTTGTGAGGTATTATCCTCTTAGGCCGATGAGCCTCATAATATTCATACTAAAGAAAAGGTGCCTGACCTTACTTTCTTACACTATTATCATTGTGTATAATTTAAATCCACTGAAATAATGTTTTCATACTCTAAACTGATAGGGCCAATCATAACCAACGGAAAAACAAATCTTTCCCCACATAAATAGATATGTTTCTGAACATGATCACTAATTCATTGCTACTTTGTTATTCATTTACACTTCAATCCACTCTTCTTGTCCCCAAAAAATTCATACCTAATTATTGTACAAATAAAGTGGCGGGTTACTAAAACCCAAGTTTGGTTTAGGTTCATGGTCTTTTTTAAGCAAAAATGATATTATACGGCCGTTCTTAAAATAATAGCCAAAATATGTATATTTTTTGTATATACATACATTATATATGTTATATACAAAAATTATATAAATTTTATATGCTTTTATGGCTACTGAATATAAATAGTTTCTAGGCGGAGGCTAAAAGTGAAGAAAGCCCCTAATAACTGACTTGCACCTATTTATATGTTGATCTAGAAGATCGTGGGTTAACTAGTATATAATCGCACACAAAACAAATAGAGGAAAAAAAGATAATACAAGGATTTCCAAGCATAAAGAGTTTTTCAGTATGAATGAGAAGAAAAACACAGTATAATTATAGAATTTTCAATTAAAACCCCTATATACAGATCTAAAATAGTCCTGAACCTATAAGAGAAAGGTTTTCCTGGTCCGACAAGGACAACAAGTTTTCCTTTTTCGAAATCTACTAGAATAATGGGTTTTCCAAACCTATAGGGATTATGAATTTTCTAAAAATACGAAAGACAAAATTCAAGACATAAATAACAACTGCTTTAGCCCTACAAAGATGAATATTCTATTTCTTAAGTAAACTTCTTGTTGATATATCATAAATGTGGGCTCTTCTCAATTATATTTCTAGATGTATGTATAAAAATTCTCATATTAAGAAGTTTTATTCTACGAGTTTGTGTACTCTATAGGCTTTTCCAATGGCTAGAGTTTACCCTCAAACATCAATTTCTTCTTCTTCTTCTTTTTCTTCCACAGATTCATACATGACTATGAGAAGAGAAACATTCACTTTATGGATGAAATCTCTAGTCTACCATGGAAATGGCTGCACTGTTTTTGACTCAAAAGGCAATATAATTTACAGGATTGACAACTACAACAGAAAATGTAGCAAAGAAGTCTATCTCATGGATTTACAAGGCAAAGTTCTCTTCTCCATCAGACAAAAGGTAAAAGGAGATAAAATCAACATTGTATTTTCAGCTAACATGAGTACGACAGTCAGTGGCGGATCCAAAATTTAGATGATGTTGGTTCTAAAATACATGGAAGGGGCAACGGTTAGGTTGTTCTGTGTGACCTATAGGTTGGGGTTTGAGCCGTGGAATCAGCCATTGATGCTTGCATCAGGGTAGGCTGCATACATCACAACCCCTTGGGATGCGACCTTTCCTCCTGCGTGAAAGCGGGATGCTTTGGGTACTGGTCTGCCCTGCCTGGTTCTAAAATACATATTTAACTATGTCTATATTTATTTTTGGCACATATATGTAGTTTGATATGTCATCGATAGGTCATATGTTCAAGCCGTAAAATTACCTACTGCCACCTGTAATAGGGTAGACAGCCTACATATCACACTCATGAGGTGCAGCCCTTTCTAGACCCTGCATAAATACGAGATGCTTTGTGTTGCCCCAGCAAAAGTAGTGATTCTAACTCACAAACAGTGGAGGAGCCACATGCTTTGAAGGGGTATCAATCGGTGCCCCTTTGTCTGAAAATTACACTATGTAGCTTGGTGGAAAAAAATATTATGTATATGCATACCCTTGGTTTTTTCGTGGGTTTACTTCTTTATATTTTGGCCCTCTTTAGTAAAAATTCTGGCTCTGCTACTGCTCACGAACCCATTATTGGATCTTCCACTGCATGCAGGATCTTGAAATTATTAAGCTAGTAATTTGTGTTTATACTAAAGTTTTCTATTGTTTATTTTGCAGAAACTTCAAGTTTTTGGACATTGGCATGGCTATAAATGGAGCAATGATAATTTGATTGAGATACCTTGGTTCCAAGTAAAGAAAAATGGTTATTTCCTATGGGGAGAATACTTAAACTATGATGTTACTTTATTAGGATTTGATGAAGCTGAAACAAGCTGCTATAAGATTATAGGTTTACAAGGCAAATCAGAATTCAAAATTGTCAGCAGAGAAAACAAACTTATTGCAGAGGTTTGTCACTATCTTGTTTATTCAATATTGCTCAGTTTTATAAGAGCCTAAATTCTATATACTGATTCAGTAAAAAATATTTATACATGCAACTAGATAACTTACAAGATACTATTTAACTAAATTTAATTAAATTTCTATGATAATTAAGTATTAGTACTAATCAGTAATATAATAAAAATGTTGACTAACATGCTACTATTATAATAGGTAAAACTACACCATAATCTAATAAGAATAATAGCGTTTAATTCCAAGTAATTTGGGGTCGGTTGTTTGGATTCTCATTTTTCATAAACTTATCTAAGACCAATATTATGTAAAATAAAAAAAATAAAAAGTATCAATTATTGGTTCTCTTTATTTTCTGCTGATGTATGAATCTCTGGTAGAACATATTAAATTGGACTGATGATGTAGAAAACTATGCTATACTGTCGATATTTTTAATTTAATTCCCTTTAAAAAGGTGAGGTGTTGGTATCATACTAGTTTTCTTTTTTGTCAAAGAAGTATATATGTGTTTAACCAAAAAATATAATTTCGGTTAAAACTAGAATTTGAGATGAAAAATCGGGTTACTGATAATCAAGAGACCAAAAAAGAATAATAGGCTTTCTGAGAATAATAATAAAGCAGTGAACAAGTTTTTATTTCAGTATGATGTCAACCATGATCTTTTCCCAATACAACTTCCTCCTTTTATAGTTGATTCTAGATAAAGGAATGAAACCTAAGCTGTAATGAGACAATTATGGACAATAAATGATATTAAATGAGCCGTTACACAATCATTCCTATTAAATACCAATTTTCTAACGTATCAGGTATTTAATACTGAATTTGGACTCCTTTTTGTCTTCAGATCCATGTTTTCAATGCCTTTTGATCTACTGGCTTTAAATGACTCGAATTGATACGAGACTCGTATCTAAACTGCTTCTCGTGCCTGTTTCACTTCCTCTTCTCGTACCTGTCATCTCCCGTACCTTTTTCTTAATTGTTATACTTTGACTATTTGTCCAGTCCACGTGTCACGCCACGTCATCTTCAATATAAATTCAACTTTTTCCCAATACAATATGCTTCAAAAGTTCCTGATTATTAAATCATTTTATAGCTATGGATTTTTCATTTAATTGGAATTAGATTTTAACAAAATCAGTAATTGGGTTTATGCAGGTAAAACAAAAAAAATCATCTTGTGGAGTTCAATTTGGAGATGATGTGTTAAGTTTGGTAGTGGAACCACATGTTGATCATTCATTAGTAATGGCTTTTGTGACTGTTTATGGCTTGATACAACAAAGGCTATGAGTGTTCCTTTTTATTTTTATTTACACTTTTTAATCTTTCTAGGAAAATTGCCGCGTAACGGGATTTTGAATTAGTCGAGTTAATGAGTTTTGAATACCGAATGAGTTTCAGAGTGTTGGTTGCAATAGTTTAAAGTGCACAAATGTAGACAAAAACATAGATAGTTTAGAGTGTATAAATGTACATTACTGAATGGTGGATTTCAATGATGATTGGAAAAGTATAGTTCTTTTTCAATTGAAAGGAATATGTGTAACCCAAATTTCGAGTTTGAAATATATAAAACAAACAAGTATCTAACCATATTTAGAAATAATTTAAGAAAAGAGTAGCTCGATATACCAAGTATCTCGCATTCATGCAAGATTCGGGAAAAGCTCGAGCCTTAGGGATGTGACACAGATAGCCTATCTTATTTCAAGTAATGACTACTTAAATGGTTCGAACTCATGACCTATATTTGATTCTAAAAAATAATGAGTGCGACAATCTTTTTACTATTTTAAATCTAAAGAAAGTATTCTCCTTTTCAAAACGTTAATTCAAGGGGCTTATGCTGATTTTTAAAAATAGCCAGATTTATAATTGGTCGTTCAAAAATAGCCCAATTTCAAAAGTAATCGAAATTTAGCCACTTTTTATGTAAAGATAAATCTTAGCGAAAACACTATTCAAAACCCGGAAAATACTCCAGTATATTATGCTGGAGTTCCAGCATAAGTATACTTGAACTCCAGCATATTATACTGGAGTTCCAGGATAGTATGCTGGAACTCCAGCATAATATGATGGAGTTCCAACATAAATACACTAGAACTCCAGCATAATATACTGGAGTTCCAGCAAGTATAATGGTCCAGTATAATATACTGGAGTTTGGAGCACCAGTGCTCCAGTCTCCAGTATATTATACTGGAGCCAGCAAAGTATACCGGTCCAGCATAATATGCTTGAGTTCATACACAAGTGCACCGAACTCCAGTATATTATGCTGGACCGGTCTCTATTGCAGCAAAACGGTGGCTATTTTTCATTGACTTGGTAAGCGCTTGCTATTTTTGATTGACCAGTCCGAAAACTGGCTATACCGTGAAATTTTGGCGTATTTAGTAGGCGTTTGGACATGAATTCCAAAAAAAATCAAATTTGGAATTTCACTAAAATTTGAATTGAAGATGAAGTTGTGTTTGGTTATAATTTTTGCAACATATTTGGATGTCTTTTTTTCAACATATTTTACAACTAAAAATTAGCAACCTTCCCATTTGCAATTGAAAAACTGGTTCTCGCAGTGAGATTGGGAAAATTATAAGATTTTAATAACCAAACACTCTTTTCAAAAAATAATTGAATTTTTTTCCTATGTCCGAACGGGCTCTTAATTTGTCCAAGTACCTACATTTAATGTTATAATAGTGATGATACCATATTTAGTTTTGAGAATAATAATTCAGGCATGGCAGAAGAATATTGGTTAATATAGAATCATTGTTAGCAGGGGCGTACATCGGAATTTTGTAATCGGTGTCAAAATTTATAAAAGAACGGGAATAATAATTTTAATTATCACACTTCGAGACAAGAAATATCGTTAGTCTATTAGTTTTGTTGATTCTTAAGTTAGAAAAAGTCCTGAATTAAATTTTACTTCGTCACAATTTTTAACCACATGGATTCTCTCAAATATTTGCAAAAAAGATGTGCTAGCTGAGGTTCGAACCGCTCACCTCTTAGAGCAAAATCAAGCAAATAATCAATGCGCCATGAGACAATTTATGTCAAGTAGTGTTATTTTTTCCTACTTATCCGCTTTCTCGAAGTATTAATACATATATTTAGTAAACAAATTCGATAAAGCAATGTCGCATTACACCGCTTCGATAAATGTGCATACGCCCCTGATTGTTGGTACTTTTTATAGGGATTCAATGCTAAAGATGAGAAAATTAAAGACCAAAAAGGACAATTCGTGCACAAAGCATCTCACGATCCTGTAGGGTATGAAAAAGAACCGCATCCCAAGAGGGTGTGATATAAATAGCCGACTCGAACCCATAACCTATAGGTCATATAAAAAAATTAAAGATCAAAACTATAAAATAATAAAGTAATAGTAAGAAGAAAAAAAAATTATTAGAAGTTCTTTTGATAGAGTAAGGTTTTGGAAGTGAAGGGCTATTCATTTACATGAACAAAACCACGTGTATTAGCTGTCTCTATTATTAATCAGCTTGATATCAAACACGTAACATGATGAAAATATACTATAGATGTGTTAATGTGTTAATGTGTTATGTGTAATCACTTCTTCCTATATATATATATATATATATATATATATATATATATATATATATATATATATATATATATATATATATGTATGTATGTATGTATGTATGTATGTATATTAAAAACAGTAAAATATTTATCTGAAACCGTAAGTTCAAAAGTTTGATAAGACACTAGTTGAATAGTCCGCTCATGTATCCCGTCACTTTCAAATCTCGAATCCAGCCTTGTTGTCTAAGATATCTCTCGTTAGCAATAAAATATTGGATTTGATTGATTACTGTGACGTTCCGATCAATATCCTCTCACTTTAACTATTTCATTACACTGGTTAAGTAGTCTGCTCAAGTACCCCTCCATCTTCAAATCTCGAATCCGCCTTGCCGGTTGAGTAGTCCGTTCATGTACCCGCTACCTTTGAATCCGCCTTTGCTATCTAAGATATCTCTTGTTAGCAATAAAATATTGGATTTGATTGATTACAGTGATGTCCGATCAATATCCTCTCTCTTCAACTATTTCATTAGTATTTACTATTTCTCATCAGTACATACCGTGGGGAATTTTGCCAACCAAAACATTTAAAAAACAGAAAAAGTCACCTCATATTTTTTGTCAATGTTGAATCTGATGTTGGAGTTTATTTTGTTTATTTAAGAGTACAGTAGTCTTTTACAACTAATTGGATGTCTTATTTAGTCTTTAGATATTTCCTAAGATACAGTCATTGACTTCGAGTTCGAGCTAGCATTGGAATCAACCACTGTCTACATCGCACTATTAGAAAACTGCCTAAAACCATCCAAAAATATCGATCGAAATTGATCGAAAAACTGGAAAAACCGACCGATTTCCGACCAACTTTAATCCGTCGAAATTAAGTTGGTCGGTGATAGCTATCGAAGTCGGTCGCAATTTCCGACCGATTTCGGTCGGTAAATTAATTTTCACAAACGACCCAAAAAGAAAAAATCCGTCTGGGACTCGAACCAGAGTCTGTATTGTGGCAGGATACTATTCTACCACTAGACTATTGGTACATTTTGGTTTAAGACTTTCTTTTAATTTATTCGTACTCTTTAATTGCATTTTCGCGCGAAAATAAACGATCGATTTCGGTCAATTTTATTAAAAATATAAAATTACCGACCAAAGTCGGTTCGTTTTCTAAAATGACTGATTGAAATAACCGACCAATTTCTGTCGGTTTTTTGAATATTAATTTTAATCTATTTTATATGAAAAACCGACCAATTTCGGTCGGTTTCTTAAAAAATAAATTTTGCGTGATGCTAAAATAGTTTCTCGTATTTTTGCGCAAAACAAAAAACCGACCGACTTCGGTCAGTTTTTCGGTCGTTTTTTGATTCCTTGGGATACGGTCCTTCTCCAGACCTTGCGTGAACGCAAAATATCTTGTGCAACGGACTGCCCAAATTTTTAGTCATACACTTAAAATGCTTCATTATGTTGTTAAATTTACTTTTTGGGTTGACAGAAATAGAAGTCTCAAAATCATATGGTACCCGTTACTCCTTATATGACATAACAGATCCTATTTTTCTAACCAAACCATAAGGTCCGAATTACTAATTGTCTCTCTTTATGCTATTAGAGTTCAGCTTTGGAATCCTGAGTTTCAAGAATCAAATATTTAAATAAAGAGTCTAACTTTCATACACTGAGAGTATCTGAACAATAAGAGGCAACAACTTGTTATAACAAGTCAAATTACACTGATAGCGTAAACTTGTTGTGACGACCCAAAGCGTCATCACCGGATTTCTCTCTTTTTCCGTGCTTCCGAGGCCTTGAAAACCTCACCTTTAGTTGCCTCGATTTGCGTGCGCAGTCCGGGCGCGTAGCCGGAAAGATTATATGTTAAACTTTGTGGAAAATCTCAAAATGTGGCTTTAAAATGATTTAAAGTTGACTTCGGTCAACATTTTTGGTAAACGGACCCGGACCCGTGATTCGACGGTCCCGGAGGGTCCGTAGAAAAATATGGGACTCGGGCATGTGCCCGGAGTCGAAATCCGAGGTCTAGAACCCGAGTAAAAGAATTTTTCTGTGAAATTATTTTTCTGAAATTATTAAGGAAAATGGAAATGAAAATTGATTAAAAGACTATGGTATCGGGCTCGTATTTTGGTTCCGACGACCGATACAAGTCTTAAATATGTGTTAAGCGCTTTCTGTAAAGTTTGGTCGAAAACGGACGTCATTTGGCGTGTTTCGGACCTAAATATCTAAAGTTTGAAGTTTATGAAGTTAGAATGAAAAATGATGATTTTGAGGTTTGATTCATTGATTTTTATGTTGTTTTGGCGATTTGATCGCTCGAGTAAGTTCGAAGGATGTCGTTGAGTTAGTGTGTATGATTGGTTGGGAGCCCCGAGGGCTCGGGAGTGATTCGGAGGTGGTTTGGGATGCTTTTGGCCTTAGAGAAAGTTGCAGAAAATCTGCAACTTTTGCACAGTTGTTCCCTCCTTCGCGATCGCAATCTTCAGCCCGCGTTCGCGTTCCTTTGGCTTTTTCCTCTTCCGCGTTCGCGTACTCGGTCACGCGATCGCATAGATTCAGCATTTCCTTCAATGCGTTCGCACCAGTAGACTCGCGTTCGCATAGACCAAACTTTTGGACCCCCAGTATTTCTTCTACGCGTTCGCGTTACCATCCACGCGATTGCGATGACCAGTCAGTGGGACCTTCCGCGATCGCACCCCTATTTCCGCGATCGCGTAGGGCAAATTCGCCCAATTATTTTTAAAGCCTAAAAATAGACCAGTAACGGGATTTTTCACCCAAAACACACGAGTTCATCTTCTCCACGGCACCTAGGCGATTTTTAGAGCTATCCTTCATCAAAGCTTCTTGGGTAAGTATTATCTAACTCGTTTTCTTCATTTTCTATCATCATTTATCAAATTT